CCTCGATAAATCAATGTGGAATTTAGTTGAAAGTTAATTATTGTTAATTCGGGAAAAAGAGTTTAAACTTTTGATTTTTGGAGTAATACTAATAACTAAATCGTAGATGCATTTATGCATTTATGCAAAAATTGAAAGTATAAAAACTTATAGAATACATGCAACTGATATACAAAAAAAGATACGAATATATAAATATTCAAAGTAACATATTTGAAGAATAAAGCATATCTCTTTAAGTTAAACTTCGTTTAAGTCTATCGATAAGGATGAAGAAAATTTGATTTGTTTTCTATCATATTTCACTTTGGATATTTTATGTATTTTCCTTCGTGTATTTAATTTTCTCATGGATGCAAACAAAATCCTAAATATCAATTAAATAAATCAATCAAAATTCAATATTTACAGTATAATATGAACAGTAGAAAAATCGATAAATGAACTTCACCAATGAAACCAAAAAAAAAAAAAAGAAAAAAGAAAAAAAACCAAAGAAATAGAATACATTTTTTTTTTTTTTTATTTCCATTGAGAAATGTTTGATTTATCATTCAAGGTTGTGTCAGGTCACGTTTCTCAGCTCTCGATACTCACGTCCTGATAAGGCATAGTTTAAGACCACAGGCATGCGTTTCCTGCACCTGTGGTATATGTAACACGTTGGCCATGGACATAGATACTTAGAATGATGCACGCATACTCGCGCAATTCTGGTCGTCTTGCATAATTGCAAAGCAATGCGGTATGATCTTTCGCGCCTGGCCATTTCGCTTTATATCGTACGATTACGCCTCCCTTCACCCTCCCTATTCCTCGACTTTTTCCACTAGCACCGGTGAAATGTTGTTCGTGTATCGTGCGTAATTCTCAATGTAAATTGATACTTAGAGAATCGCACGAGCTTTATCGTGTCATTATACGAAGATAGCGTACATCCTGATAATGCGCATCGTGCTTTAATGACCAGTTTTGATTTTTACCTTTGAAATGTACTATATAAATGCATTAAGTTTTTTTGGATTTTTTTTTTTTTTTTTTTAGATATTTTATTGCGCAAAGTCGTGAAATTTAAACTTTTAATCAGAGGTCGTTCATCATACGTTCAAAGTTTAATTTAATTCGAGTGTGAAATCATTTTTTTTTCAGGAATTCGGATTTTAAAATATTTTATTATATTATTACGTAAATATATACACACATATATATGTATATATTATAATTATATCGTTTGATAGATTATAATTTTATTTCAAGAATTTAACAATGCATTAAAAAGATGGTTTTTGGATTGCACTTCCGTACATTTGTTAAAAAAAAAAAAAAGATTGCATTGCCATGCAGCGCATGTTCACGGACATTACCTCTTTTAGCACTCGTCATTGTTTGCATTTGAATGCAAATTAGTTCGAGCGATGCCTTGACGGAACGTCTCGGAGACTTTCATCAAAGTCATTCGTAACTTATAGTATCGTATCTCCGTTTAAAAAGAAAATTAATCTGTATAGGCAATTATTAATTGTAATAATCGACTTGTAATTAATTTAATTTTTAAAATATCAAATGGAACGCTCCATCTTTATTCCTGACAAATTCATTTTCCCATCTCGAGAAACGAGATCTATTACAATGCAAATTAATTCTCACGTATAATTATACTCGATACAACGAGTTAACTCTTCAATACAAGAACATTGATCATTAATTTCCACGAATATTAATAATTTAATTTCTTTTAAAATCGAACGAATCATCGAATTGCACGAAAAAGGCTTTCCAATTAAAACAATTGGCCAATTTACAAACGATTGTTAACCAATTATTATCCTTTGAAAGGTTAGCTTTTTAAAAATAAAAGTTTCACGAGACGACCTTCGCGCGGGTGAGGCCTTTTTCCTTGTGGAATACGTAATGAGCGTGTTTCCTTAATACGTTCACGTCTAGCGCGCCTATCCGCGCTCTAATTTGCATTAACCGTTGCCTCGGATGCCCGTTAGTAAATCATTAATTTCAATGTCGACTGTGAAACGATTTCCCGATGGAAAATAGAACGTTTCGTTCAACCATGCGAATTTCACGCAGGCTTCGTTAATTCGTGGAAAATGAATGAATATACCGATATAATTATTTTCGATAATAGAATCTTCTAAAAATTGTAAAAATGCTCTTTAACCTTATGATTGTTGTTTAAACGTGATGAATTATTATTTTGAATTCAAAGCATCGTGTAAGTATTTATATATATATGGGATTCTTGAGAGCGTAAACGATACGTTTCACTCGCAGGAAACGCATTTTAAGTGTCAATAAATTTGATTACCAGAAGTCGCAGAACGTACTATTCGATCGTTAGAAGATATCTTAATCTTTTTGTTTTAATTTTATATAGTCGCAATTAATCGATTAATGGTTAAAATTGATTTAAAAGGCAAATTAATTGGCGAGCTATGCACGTGTATGCAATTTGTATCGGACTTTAATTAATCGTAATTTTAAAGCTGATCCGACAACGACGACGCAACATTGAAACAATTCCATTATGAATTTGCATACGTTTTCTAATCGTAAAGGTTTATGTTAATCGCGCACGAGGATAAAATTAAAACACGTAATTAATTTCAATTGATCTTTCTTTTTTTTATTAGATTTTCTTTCAATACAATCTATCCTTATATTTCTTGTATCGCATCGTTAAATTTTTATAAATCCACAAATATATATATATAATTTAAAAATTCTTCCCAAAATTTAAACTCTAAAAATATTATCTTATTTCTACGCTAACACTGAGTCACGCTACACTTCTAACAAAATGTTAACGATTAACATAAATATCAATCGTGTACAATCCATACAACTTCGTCATAAAATGCAAGGACAACGATTTTTATTTTATACTACGTGTAACTAAGTATCACGGAATAATATTCTGAATCATAGCAGTCACGTCGCACATAAAATTATTTCATGAACAAGGGGAATAGCGCTATCACTTAGACTCGTGTATCAATATATATATATATATATATATATATATATATATATAC